TGATGAAATCTTGAAGGTTAACATGGGCGGACCATGCCTACAAAGTTTTGATAAAGAAAAGCTGAAGGAAAGAGACCACTACGAAGACCTAGGCATAGATGTGAGGATGTTATTAAAGTGAATCTTAACGAAATGGGATGGTACGTTGTGACCTGTCGGATTATGACCCAGAATAGGGACCAGTGGCGGGCTTATGGCAACATTGTAATGAAGTTCTACCTGGCTGGAACACACTAAATTGGACAGCTGTTATTATTATTATTATTATTATTATTATTATTTATGGTGGCTACGCTATGGAATGGACGACGGGACAATTGGGTTTGGATTCCAGGCGTTGGCAAGGGATTTTTCGCTTCCCCACAGCGTGCAAGCAGGCTCTGGGGCCCACCCAATGAGTACCAGGGGCTCTTTCCCCTGTGGTAGTGGAGTCCAGCTGGGTCCACTCGGCACGTCGGCCACTGATTGGGCTATTGTAGCCTGCCCCGGTTGATTATGATGATGGAGAATTTGGTCGAATGAAGATTGGCAGGGGAAACCGAAGTACTCGGGGAAAATCTGCCCCAGCGCCACTTTGTCCACCACAAATCCCAGTTGGCCAGACACGGGCTCGAACCCTGGCTGCCGCGGTGGGAAGCCAGCGAATAACCTCTTGAGCTATGGCGCGGCATTTCCCCTGTGGCGTAGCGATCAGGACATGACGTTAGTGCCGAGTTTAAGAATGAATGGAGCCATATCTCCACTCCCCGATTCATCATTTCTGGTACGGCGCTCTGTTATGCAGAGGGCCAACTTTTATTGTATTTCCGCAACTCATCGGTCCGCCTGCTTTCCCTTGAGACTGCGCAGTGTCGTACTTTCACGCCGGGTGACGCAGTCGGAAAGATTCGCAGTATGTAATGTCTGCTCTAGGCCATGTAATTACGTGTGAGAGACTCCGCAAAATGCGGTCAGCTTTCCACTTACCCGCTGTGCACTGCAGCATTCAGCATTCAGCAGGGGAAACATGCGAATGCACTGTGCTACAAGCCGGAAAGTCGCGGGTTCGATTCTCATTGAGGTCACTGTATTTTTCAATTGACCTAATCCTTCCAGCCGCACTATGGCCATGGGGTTGACTCAGCCTCTAACAGAAATGAGGACCAGGAGTCTTCCTGGGGGTAAAGGGCGGCCGGCACGTAAAGCTGACAACCTCACCGCAATCTGTGAGCCGATTCTCACAAACCTATGGGCCTCCACGGCCTGTTACAGGGATAACATTACCGTTTCTTAGCGCGCGACCGCACGAAGCAGGGCACTGAAACAGTACACGCGGACATCAGTGCAGTCTTCAGATGTTATCGAAGCGTTGCGTATGGATTTTGTTGGTTTGTTTAACGACGCTTTAAATATGTGAAAATGTTTAGCATCGAATGAATGGGATGGAAGGAAGGAGTAGGAAGTGGTTGTGGCCTAATTTAAGGTATTAACCTGGCACTTCCCTGGAGGGACTGAGGAATATTAAGAATATTTTGTGAGGATAAGTGGTCTTCAGGACGGGGCTCGAACCTAGGACCTCCCTGATTGGAAAGTCCCGAACGTCACGATAACGAATTCTGCAAAGAAATTTGACAATTCAGTTTACATTTTTGTTTAATTTAAGAATTGGTGACAATTATAATTTATTATTTTTTTAATTTAAGTTACACACATCGAGCAGGTGTACGTAGCGGTAGCGTTGCAGGCTTGTAGTGGAAGGCTTTCGGTTCGAATTTCAGTGAGGACTCCGTTTATTCCGGCCGAAGCCATTCGTCGTTTTCCTCAGCCTCTCCAGGCAAACGCCGGGACAGTATCGCGAATACGTCACTACCATTTCCTTCAAAATCATTTCCAGTGAGTGTCCCTGTGCTTAACTAATTAAGCACTACGCCATGAAGGCGTATGGAGGGAATGGATGATACACGTTTTCTAGACTTCGGTACTAGTTGGAGGTGAATGGTCAGTTTCAAGCCCCGACCGCTGTACCCCAGGGGAAAGAGCCCCCGGTGCCCATTGGATAAGAAGCTGGGTGGGCGCCAGGGCTGGTGTGTGTCGACGTGGAGGACAGAAACCCTTGATGCTACTCAGTCTAGCTACAATTTTGTTAAATGCCGCCTCCAAAGGAGATATCAGTAAGCTTGGGACATAACAGTGACTAGCGACTAAGACAGAGCAACCTAAATGACCTTTGTTTTCGAACTGTGACTCCTCTTTGAAGGAAATTGGCTCATGTGAACTGATAATTCGACGTGTACATTGTCGAACTACCTGATAATGACCCTTACATTGGGTCGAAACATATAGTTGGGTAGTAGTCCACAAAATCGAAAAGGCTTGTTTTTAGGGGGTGGGTGTTCGTGTTGTATAGCTTACGATGATAGTATGACAGGTGAATGACGAATTGTAAAGGATTCGGTCTTGGCACATTCGAGTACTATCCTCACATTTCTCTGGCGGTACTAAGAAAAACCACGAATAACTTAGTCAAGATAACCGGTGTCCTGACAGGGATGCGAAATAAGTATCTCCCGAATTCAAGTATTGATACCGCTGCCTGAACCCGCTCGGTATTAAAGTATCCCTGAAGGCACGTTCCTCCTCAGTAACCAACCTTACGGAAGAAAATTCCCCTATGTTTAACAAGATTTCTGTTGTCATCATTATGTTGAGAACAGAGTCTAGTGAAGATTTTTATCTTCTGGAGCTCTGATTGCTACCTGCTTCACGTTGGTTTCTTGCTTGGCTTATTCTTCGACACTGAAGATGGAAGCGAGATGTTTGTACGAATCGTCACTTGACTCTCAAGGGACCACAAGATGGAACTGTTCACACGCTGGCATGCGGTTCAGAATGTGGAGACTTTCTAAAGTTGATGCAACCATTTACGGTGCCTATGTTGATGACGTAACCCAAAGGTTGCTTCAGATGAGGCACAACGCGCAGCAGCGGGCCCACGCACGCGCGGTCTGAGGCATGAACTGTCTTGGTCCTCGCTCGAACGCAGGGGCCTTGGGTTCGAATTCCGCTTGAGGCAAAGATGTCTGTCTGTGTTTATTCTGTTTTACGCTGTCCTCTGTGAAAGGTAAAGACCGTACAGACCTTGCGACGTGCTGATCTCCCATCCCTGGATTCCTACCGGCTGTGCAAAGGATTACGAAGCTATATTGGAAAGGCTGCCAGGGCCCAACAAAGGGCTGTAGAGCCAATGATGAATGAATACACAGCGATAGGCCACGTGAAGATGACCCTTACACTGGATCAAAACACGTAGAGAGAGTGGACAAACTTGTTGCTGTAAGAGTTGTATGAAGTGTATTGTTGCTTAAACTAAGGAGGGGAGTTGAACACTGGAATGTAGCAGCCTGTTTTCGGGCTGCACCGTAGGGGGCCCACGCGGCATCAGGGCCCAACATGCAGAGATACGCCTCTAATCTCATGGGAACGTAAATGTAGTTCGTGCAATTCTTCAGGTGGTTCGAATAAAGTGTCAAGAGATGGCAGGATATGTTTCGTTTCACGGCGGAAGTGTTAGAAGTTGGCGAAACACTAGAAATCATTGGAAAAAACAGACTCGGAGCAAAACTTCGTGATTTTCTCGGACTCGGCAAGCGTATTGAAATGTATTACTAATTTGTTTTAATGCTAGTGGGGTGGGACTAAGTCCCTTGTACTGCGGCCACTTCTGGCCTATTGTACCAGCCCCAGATGATAGGTGAGGGTGATTGTGGAGCAATTGGTGGAATGAAGATTGGCAGGGGAAACCGAAGTACTCGGAGAAAACCTGCCCCAGCGCCACTTTGTCCACCACAAATCCCTCTTGACCAGAACCGGGATCGAACCCGGGCCGCCGCGGTGGGAAGCCAGCAACTAACCTCTTGAGCTATGGCGCAAGAAAGGAATGGAAGATAACCATGGTTCAGAGCAGGACTGAAGCCCAAGCGGTGCAGACAAAGGGAACAGCTCGCGTGAGAGAGAGCTTCAGACGAGTTGGAGTCCATTCAGACGGAGGCCGAAGTCAAGAGCGCACCGGTGACGATAATAAACTTCGTGATAAACTCCGGGGACGCTAAAGCAATGGTCAGACGTCTGTGGAAAGCCGTCGAGCTTCACGGGCAACATGACAACAAAATTCAACAGGAATCGACGAATTCAGACTGTTCAGGGGAACTGTAGAAGCCCAAGAGGGCGGAATGTGCATACCGTAGGCCATTTATATATATATTTTTTTTTCAAAATTAAAGGAACAGTTCCACGCACCGAATATGTAGTTAGAAGAACGGCCAGTTTCCGCGTGATAGTCTGTTCTTCTTGACGCCGAAACTGTTAATCGCGATCCCTAGACGCAGCTTACTGATAAGCTTCAGGCTTTGGCCTCTTTATACTCAAATACCCCCCCAGAATTGGTGGGATTGGTGGCTGTGAGGGTCCCAGAGCCCCTCCCGCGTATCGAACTCTGGTCGTCTAGTCCTCAGCAAGTCACATTCGGGCTATAGGAAAGACGAGATTGGAAAGAGCGCACTCCGTAATTCAGTACAGGAAACTTCTATCAACATGGCTGTTAGCTCCTTAAGGATGGTTCCTTTCCAAGGAGTGACTTATCCCACTGTTACTCGTAAGGGCAGAGGAAGAGAAATCAAAATGGCTACCCTGTGGGCCCAAATTTCGTGAACAATGTTCCAACGTACGAGTCAGGAATGCTGACAGACATTCCACTAAGTTAAGTGCCCTGAGAAGTATATCACAATCGCCATCATTAATCTTAAAAGTGCCAGGTGTCGAAAATTCCAACCTTTATAAGAATTGTTATGTTGCCCAGCATTTGGTATTTATTGTCATTTCATCTGAACTACATAGTCAAGAAACATTTTCCCTTCATTTGATGCCCTTACGCGCACACAAACACACACTGATAGCAATGTAAAAATTAAACATATTCATAGGGGTAACTGTTTTCCTTACATTAATTGTGCGTTCTTCTGCAGGTGGGCGGGACCACGAAATGGAGTCCTATAAACCTACATCCAAGAATCCAGGAGCGAATGAGGTTTGGTGGAAGATTTCTTCGGTTTTCCTGGCAACGGTTGCTATAGTAACTGTTCTATTGTTTTGTTGGACCAAGAGACGCCTGTGGGAATTGGCCGCAAGACTTCCGGGCCCAACGCCGGTCCCGTTGCTTGGGAACCTCCTCACTTTCGCGGGCTGCGATTTGATTCAGTTCTTCAAGATGATCGTGCAACTGGTAGAGAAACACGGCTCCATATTTAAGCTGTGGATAGGGCAGGATCTGTTCGTGCTGTTGTCCGACCCTGTTGCACTGGAGAAGGTGTTGGGGAACAAGAACTTCATCAGGCGTACCGGCTACGTCACAAAAGTTGGCAAACCTTTCTTTAGAAATGGTTTATTGATGTCAGACGGTGATACGTGGAGAGTCCACCGGAAAATAATCCAGTCAACTTTTCATAACAACATTCTGGATCAATTCGTTGAGAATTTTGCCAAGAACAGTTCCATCTTGGTGCAAAAGTTGGGCGACAGTGAGTGCGCCGTTACGGTCAACGTGTACCCACTCATCAGCCTCTGCACACTGGACGTCATATGCGAGACAGCGATGGGAACCAAGGTGAATGCCCAACTGGACTATGACGGAGAGTACGTGCAGAACGTCTTGAAATCGCTTCAGTTGCTGTCTGAGAGATTCATGCGTCCATGGTTGTCAGTTGACTGGATCTTCAATTTGACTCAGTTGGGCAAAGAACAGGCGGCCACTTTGAAATATCTGCACGGAAACGTACAACAAGTTGTTTCCGAGAAGTTGGCCAAATTCCACGCAAGTGGCCGACAGAAGACGCAAGTTGATGATGTCCAGTCTGTGAACAGAAAGAAACTGTCTTTGTTGGATCTGCTGATAGAGGACGGGCAGCTGACGCCAGACGAGATCCACGACGAAGTTGTGACTATCGTGGCGGCTGGGTCCGAGACTACGGCGTCTACCTGTTGTTATGTGCTGTCCCTTCTGGGCGTTCATCAGGACGTCCAACAGCGCGTCTTCGAGGAACAGAGGAGCGTGTTTGGAGAGGACATGAACAGGCTCGTCACTTGTGAGGATCTACTCCACATGCCCTACCTCGAGCAGGTGGTTGAGCCTTCCCGTTCGATTTATGTAACTAGTCTCTAAGTACCTAATTACAATTGATAGCAAATAACCAATTGAATATGTGGAGGGAAGTGGCTGTGACAGTCTGAGTTAATTTTCCTGAGGATGGAGGCAGTGGGTTGCTCCGAAACATTGGTAATCATCTGTAAAACTATATGAAGTCATAAACCAGAAAGACCACATCACCACGAATTCCTCAGATGTATGCCAGCATTTCGACAAGAACTCTGCTGTGTGACAGTGGCTTGTCCGTCAGATGGATAGATAGAACTGTACATAGGTAGATAAGCAGGTAAATAAATACATAGATAGATTCATCGATAGATGGATAGACAAGTCATATGTAGGTAAATAGATTAATGGGCAGACTGTAAGTAAACAGATAGATTGATGTAGATATGTAATTAGATAAAGGTCAGACATAGATTGATTGATTGATAGATAACCAGAAAAACTGAAGATAGATGGATAAACGTATAACTGAGCAGATTGATAGATATATTGATATGTAGACAGATAAATATATAATATTAATAGATTGGTTTATAGGTAGATTGATTGATAGATAAATGGGTAGATTAACAGGTAGATACAGAAATAGATTGATATTTAGATAGATAAATAGATAAACGGACAGATAGAGACAGACTGGTTGACAGATAAATTGGCTGATTAAGAGATAGGTAGGTAGACAGGTATGTAGACAGACAGACAGATAGATAGGTAGAGAGAGAGAGAGACAGACAGGTAGAAGCACTCCCGCTGCACTACGACCCTGCTTTGCTTTGCAGGTGATCAAGGAGTCTCTGCGCCTCTTCCCGCCAATCCCGTACCTGTTCCGCAAGGTGGAGCAGGAGACTGACCTTGGCAACGGCTACGTGCTGCCTGCCGGCTGCTACTCCATGGTGGTGACGTACACGACTCACCGGAATCCGGACCACTTCCCTGACCCCGGACGTTTCGACCCGGACCGTTTCTCCCCCGAGAACAGCATCGGCAGACATCCGTACGCCTACATCCCTTTCGGCGCTGGGCGCCGGATGTGTGTGGCCTACAAGTTCGGCATCATGGAGGCCAAGACGATGTTGTCCACCATCCTGAGGAGGTTCCGCGTCGTCGAGACAGTCGGCGGCATCAGGACGCTTGTTGACAGCTTGGAGTCCGGAGTTGTACTGAAACCTGCCAACGGATTTAACATTAAGATAGAGGGTAGGTTTGCCGATACATAACTGATGGGAGCCACCAATATCTAGGGCTCACTTTATAAGGGAAGAGGACAGACTCAAGGTGTTCGAGAACAGGGTGCTAAGGAGGATAATCCGTCCTAAGAGGGAGGAAGTGACAGGAGGTTCGAGAAAACTGCATAATGAGGGGCTTCATAATATTTCTATTCGCAGCAGTGAATTTATACATTTAACTATTTACATATCAGTTATTAAGCTATAGACTGGAGCATCGAGGAATCAGGGTTCGATTCGGGGCAGAAGTCAGATTTTAAGTTTTTTATTATCTCAGTCTATGTATCTAGAGACGGCAGGTTGATCTGTGAACAGCGAATTCGGAAGGATGTGAAAATAAGTGCCCGTTGCCTAACATGAGGCTCTATCGCGATATTTGCCTGGAGGAACTGAGGGATGCCACGAAAGCCTAAGATAGTACAGCCGGTCTCTGGAACGAGATTTGATACCATGACCTTCTGCATACGAATCAGTGATCTGAATGAAAAGGTGACTAATTGCAGGCCTGGGTATCTGTCATAACCCTTGGAAGGAACTCCGCATTCTGCCCACAGAGTGTATCTGTGTGTTCCATATGGTTCTCACAATAAACAGCGGCTGTTTCCTCAAACAGAATTAACCGGTTGGGCTTTGTAGCGGAGACGGAGTGTGTTTCCTGTGAGGTACGGACTGAATTGCTAGATATTTTTAAACTCACGATTTTTAACGTTAGGGTTCATGTATTTAATGCCGGACTGCTGGCTAGAAATCACTCCTGCGACCGGCCAGCTCGATCACGGCTTTCCACGGTTTTCCTCTGTCCTAGAGCAAATGCTGAGCTGTTGCCCGAATTCCGTTTTGCACTGCGTGTTTCACATTCAGCCCTCCCAATGGTTGCAACAAAAGTTCACCCTGACATAGTCCTCCTAGTGTTGCGTTCCTGTACTGACAGCTGCACCTCGACTGCAGACAACTTCTGCTGTATCCTCAGACTTCATGTTGTTCCCCTTACCGGTTCGTTTCGCTAGCCATCTAATGCCCATCCTATTGTATCTCACAGATTGTTGGATTGTCATACAGAGTCACATCCAAGAAGTCTCTTCTGTCCTGAGATGGGGGCATTAGATTTCTACGAAACGTCGGTAACGATACTGAAGAGTACACACCGTCACATCCCATAAGTATATATTCTATCTTGAAGATGGAAGCATTGGGTTCCTCCTAATCGTCTGCAGTGATCTACAAGACAAAATTATCTTCTGTCCTGAAGATGAAAGCAGTTGATTCCTTCGAAACGTCGGTAACGGTGTACAAATGTAAGTCAATTCTTAAAGGTTCCGTATAACCCGAGGGCGCTAGGTTCCTCAGAACCGTAATGATCTAAACATTACATATCGTATTCACACAAGTATTTTCTGCATTGAAGATGGAGGCAGTATCTTCCTCTGCAGAATTAGTACTTATCTACCAGATTATGCGGTGTCACATCGCAGGGTACCTCGTTTGCGTCCTGTATTGTAGCAGAATTGCTTTCCAGAGTGTTAACGTTTCCGCTGAACACAGTGTCCGGTGTAGGCAGGTGCTGCCGCACTTCTGAGAGTAGGCAGGTCCACGAAGCCATGCGTCGCATCTCCCATGCCGTTCCGACGCCAGACCGACGCTGCCTGCACGGGGCCTCTCTTTGAGCTGCGAGCTCACTTCTTTTCTGGTACACACCGCCCCACTCCCCCCTTTCCTCCCTCCCTCCCGCGCTTCTGGTTGCCAAATGGCACACTCCACTGCCCCCCCACCGCCAAACACACAAACGCTCTGAAATATTTACTTGGACGTGTCTCGTGAATCTTGTAGAGTAGGGATTACGTCAAGTTTTGGTAGAACCTGAAGGAAAGAGACCATTTGGCAGAACTAGACATAGATGGGAGGTTACCATTCAAGCAGATCTTAAAGAGATGGGATGCGAAAATATGAACTGGATTCAGATGCTCTGCTTGCTGGTTGCTTGGTTTACTCTTTTGCTCTGAAGATGAGGGCAGTATGTTCTTCCGAAACATTGGTGGACTTCTGCTGTACTCCACAGCGTAAAATCCCAGAAGGTAAGCCTTATGATAGACGATTGGATTATTCTGGCTTGGGATAGGGACCAGCAGCGCGATCTTATGAATGTGACAATGAAACTGCGAGTCTTGTGTAATGCTAGGAATTTGATTACTATCTGAGCAAATATCAGCTTCTCAAAAAAGACTTGACGCCATAAAATCAGAGATTACATTAGGCCTATTGCTTTGTAAATTGGAGGTAATGGGTTTAAATCTCGGCTGGAACAGCGGCTGGGCTGACTGGGATTATTTAGTTTTACTCAGTACCTCCAGACAAATTCCAGGACAGTACCTCAAACTAGGCCACGACCACTTCCTTCCACATCCTGTCAGATTCAGTATTCATTAATCGTCCTGCAATTCGACGCAGTATAGTCGAAGCTACTATCAGCATCGTTAAATAAACAATAAGTAAATAATACTGTGTGTTTTTCTTATGGCTCCTCTATTCCTTTGTTCTGTTTTTCTGTCATCCTCAGTAGTTCTATCCGTCTCTGTTTGTATCATTTTCTCCAATGTCATTTCTTAGCTTCCCTTTCTATATTTCTCTCTTCCTCCTCGGTTTATATTTCTATCTACCGTTCTTTATCTCTGCCTCTATTTACGTGTACGCATTTTCTTCCTTTTGACTTCTCTCTCTACGTTTATCTGAGATGCAGTAACCCATTTCATTTGATCTACAGACGATCCTCGCTTTACGAAATTTCGGTCGTACCAACTTCAATAGCGAGACGCATAACTCGGCTCGACTTGTCTACCGAAATCCCTTCCGAATAAAAACAAACACATGCGAACGATAGCGGTAACACGCAGCGCCGACAAGTCAGTTCGCCTTACGCTCAGCTCTCGTGTGCATCTATCGTGATTTTTCATCTGCTTTAAGCAATTTGTTGTTTCTTAATAGCATAACAGGTTTGCCAATGCTTATAGCATAATCTAGTATGTTTCTGATGTTCGTCGCTTTTGTTTCAGGTAATGAAATTGGAGATATTTTTTTTATTGCTAGTGGAGTGGGACTAAGTCCCTTGCACTGCGGCCACTTCTGGCCTATTGCACCAGCCCCAAATGATAGGTGAGGGTGATTGTGGAGCAATTGGTGGAATAAAGATTGGCGGGGGAAACCGAAGTACTCGGAGAAAACCTGCCCCCAGCGCCACTTTGTCCACCACAAATCCCACTTGACGAGACCCGGGAACGAACCCGGGCCGCCGCGGTGGGAAACCAGCGTCTAACCGCTTGAGCTATGGCGCGGTCTAAATTGGAGATAAATAAATATTTCACAATTTTTGGTCGTTCACGAAAGAACCTTCCAGTTATAACATTGCCCCTGTGAGGAACAGCAATTCGCATTACGAAATTTCACTTTACGAATTCTCATCAGGAACGTGACTATTCGTAAGAACGGGGATTGCCCTATTGCTTTAAATTATAATGTTTTCTACGAAGATTGTCGAGTCGAGAAACCAAAAGGCTTCAGATTCGTGTAGAATATGTAAGTATATTAAAGGCCTCTCCAGGTTGATGGATTTCAGTGGGCAGCGCTGGTTAGGTATTATACGTGCATATACAGTACTATACGTTTAGCGGCTGAGTGGCTTTAGAGGCACAAGGGCGTAAAGTACAAGTACAGTATGAATAACTCTTTAACGCCCTATAGTTTCCTGTATGTACCATCTCCATCATTTAAAAAAGTCTGCATTCTGCCCCGTAGTGTATTTGTGTGTTCCGTATGGTTCTCACAGTAAACAGCGACTGTTTTCCTAAACAGCATTAACCGGTTGGGCTTTGTTATGGACACGTAATGCGTTTCCTGTGAGGTACGGACTGAATTGCTATATATTCTGGCCACAGATTGTATTTGTGTGTTCCGTATCGTTCTCACAATAAACAGCGACTGTTTCCCTAAACAGCATTAACCGGTTGGTCTCCGTAGAGGAGACGTAATGTGTTTCCTGTGACGTACGGATGTATTTCAGCCTGTTTATCAAACCTCTCTTGAAGTGGATAAGAAGCCATGGGTTATGTACTTCACTGTTGCGAAGTGATGAGATACTGCCTGGAGTACCCAAGATGATAAGAAGCTTAAGGACAAAAGGAAATCCACGCGGGGGGAGAGAGAAAAAGCATACAAATAAACCTAATTAGAAGAAGAAAGAATGTACACATCTAGGCCTATGAACATACTTAGTATGATGTAATGAAAGACGAAATAAAAGTGACACAAATAACCAAATAACTTTATTCGCGTCTTTTGACCGGCAGAAATCCAGGGGAAGCTATCCATGTTGGATCCAATAGTGATGTCCCATGACACTTGTAGCTACACTGTAGGCAACTCCAGCTGTCATATGGACTTTAAATGCTTAGTTATTTAGTAAACAGGACATAACTTCTGATGAGGAAGTGTTGAACTCGGTACTATTTCACTCTTTCTTCAAGCATTAATAACATTGGTAGTTTATCCTTGAAACAAAGTTGTCTGTTATGGGCCGGCCCAACTTGACTGGAGAAGCTTCCGGCTCTTCCGCTTGAGCCCGCGCTTGCAAACGGAACTCTCCCTGTATTTGGAATGAAGAGGGGAAATGTGATCTTGTGTTTTCTATGAGGTAAGAACTGAATTTTGGATTATTATTTTGTTAATCGTCGCTTTCAAAGCGAGTGACTGCTCTGATTCTCATGACGCAGCATTTGCCATCAGCGCTGAAAATGTCATGATCACAACTGATAAACAGATCCATATATAGATGGGGAAGGGTAATATTAAAATTGAGCGTAGAGAAATATTGCGTGAGAATGTCGACTTTGTTGTACTGCCTCAAGGGTCTAACTCTTGTATATCATGGTCCTTCCATAGAAGGCAGGGAATTTCTTGTGAAGGAAAGCGACTACAAGATTC